ACCTGCCAAGAAAACTCAGAGGACCGAGTGCCTCACATGTTGCTTTCCCCTTTTTATTAAAAATAGACCCAAACACTTTATATATCATACAAAAGTTTCGTTCGCTGGTGGCAGCCACGAGGACGCCTAGCCTCGTGGCACTGATCCCCCACCTTCCCTCCCAGGGCCTGGGTCCCAAGGAGCAGTGGCCCGGCCTCGGAGGATGCCCACCAACCCTGCTCGCTCTGGAGACTGCCAGCCGGAGGTGCGGGCTGTTCCTGGGGGCACCTCCCCCCACCCCACCCCATGGCAAAGGTCAGATACTCGAAAGTGCCTCTTCAGTGCCAAGTAAACTACCAAGGGGAGTGAAATGCAACCCCCTGGGATGCTTTGATGGTCTCTCAGGGCATGGGACTCGGGTTGTTTTTTTTTTTCCTTCCGCGCCCACCACCCCACCCCACGAATCCTGGCTCCTGCAAATGGGGAGTGGGAAACGTCACCCTTAAGAGACTCCGGTACCTCTGGCGTCTGAGGTCAGCATTTCACTCCACCTTGAGCCTCTTCTCACCTGCTATTCTGTGGCCTAGGATCTCCCAGCGCCAGGACTCGAGGTTGGTCCTCTGTTCGCTCGCAGAAGTGGAGCAAACACGGCTTCCTCCCGGGGGTCCTCTGCCTGTGTCTCCGCCCCGCCAGCCCCTCGGTTTTCGGGGCCTTGGGGGCGACAAGGCCCCACGGCCATCCGTTTCCCCCCGTTTCTGTCTCTCCCTGACTGCTGCCCACGCCTGAGCCTTCAGCACCCCTGGGGTACCCCCGACCCCCATTCCAGAGGGGCCTGGGCGTGAGGGGGGGGCGGCGGGGGGAGGGGCGGCAGGAGCAGGGTTCCCCCCAGGGGTGGGGCAGTACTCATGCTGGTGTGGGCGCGCGGCCGGGCGGGGGCAGGTGTGGGAGCGTGGGGCATGCGTCGGGAGGGCAGAGGCCGCCGGAAACCCTCAGTCCCAGCCGTTGTCCTTCACCATGTGCGACATCTCAATGATGTACTTCCCTTCCTTGTACTTCTGGCTCGTCTCAAAAGCCTGCTCCTGGCGGAGGGGAGGCCGGCAGTGTGGGCCGGCGGGCCTGCCTACCGCTGCCGGCCTCAGCCCGCCCCCCAGCCGGTCCCCCTGCTCCCAGCTCCCTCCTCCCCCCTGGGTCAGGGTGGACACTCGGGCCTGGGGAGGGGCCCACGGAGACACCCCCCCCCCCCCCCGCCCCAGTACTTACATATTTCCAGCCCAGGGTGGTTTTGCAGCTCTCGCAGAAAATGTCAGCTACCGAGTGCAGCCCGGTGAGCAGGAGGCGCTGTTCAGCTGGCCCGCACCCCACGTTGACCCTGGGAGACGGGAAGGACCCGGCACACGGGGCGGGGGGTGTCACTCCATCAGCGCACCCCCCAGCAGCCCAGAGGGCCCAGCATCTGGAGAGAGCGCGACCACCCAGCTGAGAGCCCCGCCTCTAGCACCCCACCCCTTGGTGTCTAGCGCCTGGCGCCCCAGTTCTCCCGGGCTCCCCACCAAAGAGCTGCAGACCGGGCTTCCGCCAAAGGAGAGGCAAAGCCAGAGGGCGCAGGGCACCCCCTTCGGGCGGCTCGACCCCTCTCTCCAGAGAGGAAAGCTCTTCACCCACACCGGCACACGCGCACAAGGCAGAGGGTAGACTCACACGGAGTTAAACAGGTAGGCTCGGCCATGGCTCCCCTGGAAGGACTGCGGAGACACAGGGCGGATGGTGACTGCGGGGAGCCCTTGACCCCGGGGTCACGCGCTCCCTGAATCCCCTGCGGGGGCATGGAGGAGGGAGACCAGGCTTCGTGACCTCACCCCTGGGTGATGTTTGGAGGAGCCTGAAGGCAGTGGCACCCCACTCCAGTACTCTTGCCTGGAAAATCCCATGGACGGAGGAGCCTGGTAGGCTGCGGTCCATGGGGTCGCTAAGAGTCAGACATGACTGAGCGACTTCATTTTCACTTTAGGGGTGGGGGGTTGGAAGGGCGTTACCTTGGAGATGAGCTCGTCGTGTTTGGCCAGGTGTGCGCGGCAGTGGACGCAGCTGTAGGTGCGGTGGCAGCGAGGCAGGTAGCTGCGGAAGGTCTTGGCGGGGAGGCAGGCGGGGGCCGGGCCAGGGTCGCAGCTGGGCATGACGGGCTGGAGGACGATGCCCTGGCGGGCGGGGGGCGCGGGCGCCGTGCAGCCCCCGCACAGACGGTCGCAGGTGAAGCAGCGGAGCAGGTTGGCTAGAGCCGTGTTTCAGGGCGGGAGCGGTGCGGGGGGGCTGCCGGGCCAGGGCCCCCCCAGACGTGAGCCAAGCAGAAATGGAGGTCACCTGGGAAGGAGGGGAGGGTCACCAGCAGGGCCGGGGAGCCCATGCCAGGGGCGCGGAGGAGCCGGGCGCCTGCGATCACTTCCACTCCTGCTTCACCCGTCCGCGGCAGCCCCGCTCCGCGCACGCTCACACTGCGACTGCCACCCGGGCTGACCGTCTGCTCGGGCTGGCCCCGCAGCGGATGGGGGCCTCAGTCCGAGAGGCGGTGTCTCGCCCTCCTGGGGCCAGAGCCGGCCTCCACCATTTTCCACCGGGAGCGGCCCGCTGCCATGGGAGCCGCATCACTGGCAAATGCTCCTTCCTCCCTCGCTTTTCCGTGCTTTTGTGAGGATGCATCCCACGTGGCTGCCAGGCTCTGTGTCTCGGGGGCTCAAAGCCTTGAAAAAGCTGGGGATGCCCGCCGGTCCTTCCTTCCGTGACCTCGGTTTGCAAGGTAACTGGCCCCAGCACACGATTGGTGTGGGTGGGAGGAGCGTGATGAGAAAGGGAAGGCGCGCGAGCAGCTCCAGACACGCACTCTCCGCGCCGGTCCTCTCGGGCGGCGGGGCTCCAGAGCCTGATAGACGTCTCCTGTGGCACCAAAGGCCTCGGACGGGGCTGCTGCCCGGTCCTGCACTTGGGTCCGCTCATTCTGGCCCGGGAGCATCACTGGGCTTGTCTTCTCAGCCTCTGAGCTCCTCTGTCTCTCTCTACTGCCCTCTAGGATGGTTGCCTTGGCTCTGAGCGAAGCACCCAGCCTAGGAGAGAAACAATCTTCCCTTTGGGCGCGTCTGACCGCTGGGGCCAATGGCAAGTAGGGCCGGAGTCGGGCAGGCCGGCGGTCCCGGGCCGTGTTTGCGGGGCGGGCGCGGTGTCTCGTGATGGGCAGCGTCAAAGCCCCGTGCTTTGCGGGCACAAGGCACAGGGTGTTTCTTCCCCCTCCTCCCAGGGCCTGGGACTCAGTGGGTGACTCGAGATAAAAAGAATTGCCTGGTTCTGATTAAGAATCTTGAGGAGGATTCGCAGGCTTCAGCCCCAGAGTGGCCGCGGTTGCTGGAGGCAGGGATAAGGCGGGAGGTGTCCTCTGCCGGCCCTGATAAGCCTGGGAGCCTCGGCCCGCTCCTTGGTGGGGCCTGCAGGCCGGCTCTGGGTGGCTTAGCCCCGGTCTGCTTCGGGGATGCCAGCCGGGTGCTCTGGCAACAGTAGGCAGAGGAGCCGGGGCGCACAGGCTCCGTCTTGCCCTCCACCAGCACCCGCGCTGTGCCAGCATTGCCTGGGGCCGCCAGGTGCGCTCTCTGCAAAGCCTCCCGGCAGAGGGCAGGGGCCGTTTCAGGCCCTCTGCCCCTGGGGGGACTCAGGAAGAGCACCCTGGGCTGAGTTCAGGGTGACATTGGGGTCCTCACCAGCAGAACACCGTCCAGCCTTCGCTGGACTCGTCTGCTTTCAACTTTGCCCGCCAGCGAGTTCCCGGCGGCGAGCTCCACCTGGAGCGCCCCCCCACCTTCCCGGGGCTCGGGGAGGGGGGCAGGACCCCCCAGCCTAACCCCGCCTGTCTCCCATGCTTCCCCATCCCGCCCAGGGGAGGCTGCACAGACAGCCCCTCTCGGGGACGGGGGCAGGGGGCGTCAGGGTCACTCCTCCCCCCATCTCAGATGACCGGGAGAAGCAAGGGGAGCCAATGACGGGGGCAGAAGCGCGCCGGGGTGCGGACGGCTCCCCGAGTGAGCCGCTGCTGGACCGTGGGAGGCGGGGGGAGGGAGGGGTTGCTGAGCAAGCGGCGCTGACGGCAGAGGCGGAGGCTGGCGGAGCCAGGTGCGAATCCCGTGCCTCTTAAGGGGGGGGAAAAAGGGAAAAAGCAAAGAGGGAGGGGGACACCTGCTCACAATGGATGCTCGCATCTGCTCGGAGGCCGCGGGCCCCCCCGAAGGGCTGGCATTCTCGGTACGGTATGGTCCCAATGATGAGCCGCGCAGCAGGTTCCCGGGGCGGGCTTGGGGGGGGGGGTCGCACCCCAGCGGCCAAACAATATAAACAGGGATGCTTGATCAAACAGGGGTGCCTGAGGCTGCGGCCAAAGTTGCCGGGAAGAGCTCACAGAGGGATGAGGCGGGGAGGGGGAAGGGAGGACAAAGGGTGGATGGAGAATGCTTTGGCGAGGGGGGGAAGCCACGCGCAGCCCGAGGGGGAGACGCACAGAGGGGAAAGGTGCGCTTGGAGAAGGGCTGCCCCCTCACCTTGAGGCCGGCTCCAGAGATCTCCGTCTATCTCCCCCTGTCTCTCTCAATCTCTCTGCGCTCTCTTCGCGGCTCCTTCCGCTCCTTCAGTGGGGAAGGGGCTGGGGGCGGGGGGCGGGGAGGGTGGTGAGGGGCTCCAGACCCGGGCTGCCAAGCTGGCCCAGCTGCGGGGGGCGGGGGGGCGGCGGCCAGAGGCGGCCTCCCGCCGGTACCCCGGTCTGTGGGTGAATGTAGCTGTGTGTTGTGGGACTGCATCATAACACTGTGAGTCATCCGGGCCCCCACCCCCCTCACCTCCCACGTCAGAGCGGGGCTGGGAGACACAGGAGGCGGGCTGGGAGGCAGGCAGCGGGCAGGCGTCGAGGGCTGGGGCTGGGGCAGAGATGCCCAGGGTGGGGGGGTGGGCCGTGCCAGGGGAGGGCAGGGAGAGGAGCCGGGGTGCTAGGGAGGAGGGCCCCGTGGCCAAGGAGACCGCCAGAAGCTGGGGGGAGGACAAGGCTGGGCGAGGATGGAGTCCGCGGTACGGGTGGCAGGGCTGGACCAAAGACCGAGAGGCTGGGAGCCGGGTGCAGAGTCAGGACCCACCATGCGCGCACAGGCAAGATGCTACATTTCCCATCTCAGCTCTGATACGCAGGGGAAAGGAGGCCGTATTAATAATGGTCACAGATGGCATGGAACGCCCCCAAGCCTGTACCAGGCGCTTCCAAGCCTCAAAGCCTTCGGTTCAACACCCCTCGAAGGAGTCACAGATAAAAATGACCTCTGACAGGCAGAAACCTCTTATCGACTACCTCCAAATGACCTGTGCTTCACGCACGGAGACACCCATGTTACATAAGATTCTCTGCTGGGCTCTAAACTTTGAGGCAGGTCCTCTGGGAAATTCTTCTCTGCATCCCAGGACTACAGTGCCAAGCGCAGAGCTTTGCCTACAGAAGATGCTCAAAAAGCAGCAGTTGAGTTGCATCTTCAGACGTTGTCCAAGTGTCTGACTTTGGTCTCAGAGAGACCTGAGTTGGAATCCCAGCTCTGGCAATACACTTACCAGGAGCCACTGGGCCAGTTACTGATAACCTGTGTGCCCCTGTTTTCTCCATCTGCTAAATGAAGCTAATGTTTACCTCATGGAGTGTGAAGTAAAGTGAGATAATATGTAAACATCTAAAAAAAAAAAAAATGCCTGGCGCGTGATAGGCAGCTAGTAAACAGGAGTTACTGGCATTTCAAAACAGTGTTCTCAACTTGAATACCCCTCAACCCAGAGTGGATTTACTCTTAAATTCTGATAGCTCAAGAGGCACATGCCAAATTTGTGTCTTACAAAGAACTTCACATCTTTCTTGCTATTTTTCTGTCAGTTTCCAGTTATACTTCATTTGAGCCAAAATATTTCTCATAAAGTTTTGCCCTCTGCAAGTTGCTAAAGTATGTAGACACAGAACATACCCTCTAAGGTAAAAACCTAGATTTCTAACTGAGGTGAACGTTCAGAAAATGAAGTACTTTTTCACAAAGGGAGTGAAAAGTTAGGGTAGGGAAAAGAGGTTAATGGGAGGCAGTGCTAGCTGGGTATGAAAAAGTAAAAAGAATTCTGAATATTTCCATCAGGGAAGATTCTTCAGTTTAAGGTACATTCTGAGAAAACAAAGTGGGTATCTTGAATGATGTTACCAGAGGTTTGGAATTGACAGGTAGCACCGAATAAAGAAAAAGAAAGAAAAGGGAAATGCTCTCATCTAGACAGCAGATGAGGAAGGAAATGTAAGTGGAAGAGGAATTTGTTGAGGAAAATAGAAGGAAGTGAGAAAAAGGAAGGTGAGTAGTTTTTTAGGGCAAGGCTTGAAAGTGTAGAAGCAAAAAATTAAATGACCTCAGGAAGAAGATGATCACAGATTTAACTGGAGAGGAGAATGAAAAAGACACGTGAGGGCAGTATTATTTGAGGGTGGGTGGAGAGGAGAGGAGTGCTTGGTGAAAGACAGTGAGGAAAGAGTGTGGGCAAGCACAGATGCTTTCAGTGGTGTACCCTGACCCTTTCTATTTAAGAAGCAAAATGGAGAGCAGTCTCTAAAGGAGGGGGAGGGGTTTCTTCTCCCTAAATTCAGCTTGAGGTGGCTATGTAATATCTAAATTAAGATGACCTTGGGACTTACCTGGCAGTCCAGCGGTTAAAATGCCACACTCCCAAGGCAGGGGGCATGGGTTCTGTCCCTGGTTGGGGAACTAAGATCCTGCCCACCACATAGTGTGTGGCATGGCCAAGGAGAACAAAGAAATAGAAGAAAGAAAAAAAAAAAAAGATGACTTTTAGATAATTGGGAGAAACTGCCTCAAGGGAGAGAATGTGGAGGCAAAGAAACATCTGGGAGGTGGACTGCATGTAAATAGGAGAGGATGAGCTCACAGAGAGAGAATTTTGCAAATGGAAGACTAGAACTGGATTCTTTTTTTCTGTGTGTGAAAGTCGCTCAGTCGAGTCCAACTCATTGCTACCCCATGGACTATATAGTCCATGGAATTCTCTAGGCCAGAATACTGGAGTAGGTAGCCGTTCCCTTCTCCAGGGGATCTTCCCAGCCCACGGATTGAACCCAGGTCTCCCACATTGCAGGTGGATTCTTTACCAGCTGAGCCACAAGGGAAGCCCTAGAACTGGATTTTTGAAGAATGGTGAGCAATTAGAGGATACTTGGTAGTTCACTAGAGAACTAATACATGCACCGTGAATGAATGAATGAATGAATGAAAGCAAACCATTCAAGATAGATGGGCTTCCCAGGTGGTGCTCGTGGTAAAGAACCTGCCTGCCAATGCAGGAGGAATAAGAGATGTGGGTTCAATCTCTGGGTTGGGAAGATCCCCTGAAGGAGGGCATGGCAACCCACTGCAGTATTCTGCCTGGAGAATCCCCTGGACAGATGGGCCTGGTGGGCTACAGTCCATAGAGTTGCAAAGAGTCAGACAGGACTGAAGTGTCTCAGCACACCACACACACGCATCCAAGAAAGAACCGTGAGAAGTGAGGATGGCACTCTTAGAAAGTGAAGGCTAAGGTGGGGCCAGCTGGAAAAAGGCAACCCAGAAAATCTTCCTAGGCTTTTCCACCGGGATTAACCATGTGAGCTGGACTGAAGGAAGTATTCCTCTTTTTTTTTTTGTATTCATCTCTAAAGTAGGGGTGACAGTTACAGCGTGTCCTTCACAGGATTCTCATGAGGATTAAATGGATTTATACCCTTAAAGCCCATAGAACAGTATGTGGCATCTAGTACTATTCGTTCGCTGTTATAATAACTGAATTAAAACTCCAAAATCTTGGGTTTGAATACTAGCTTGTGCAAATCCCTCCACCTGTCTTAGTGTCCTCTCTCACCTGAAATTTAATAAAGCTGACTTTACAGGTGGCTGTGAAAGAGGACACCTGAAAGGACTTTGAAAAATGTAAACTACAAATAGATGGCCTTTTTTATAGCTCCCCATTCTCAATTTATAATAATACCTTAAGAGCTCACATCAGATGCATTCTATGTTACAGGCATTGGGTTTAGTGCTTTATATGCATTATCCTATTCATGCTTCAAAACAACTTGAAGATAAATTGTTACCCCTATTTTACAGTTAAACAAACAGACAACTGCATCTAAGCCTGTGATTTGCCCAAAGTCACACAGCAAGCAAGTGGCAAAGAATACTCCCAAGTCCAAACGCATCGGAAGTGTATCAAGTGCAAGTGAAGTCGCTCAGTCTTGTCGACTCTTGTGACCCCATGGAGTGTAGCCCTCCAGGCTCCTCCGTTCTTGGGATTCTCTAGGACAGAATACTGGAGTGGGCAGCCTTTCCCTTCTCCAGGGGATCTTCCCGACCCAGGGATCGAACCCGCGGCTCCCACCTTGCAGACATGCTTTACCGTCTGAACGTATAGATGTGGCCCAGCCTGTTGCTTGTGGGGTGAATGATTGCCCCTGTATAACCGTCAGAGATTTGGGGAGGGAAAAAGTCCCCAGCAAAGCTCCCCGCTTAACAGGAGAGAGGTTGTTGGGTAATGACTGCCTTGCAGAGTAACAGGAAGAAATTTATTTTTTTATTCTTTAAGTAAAATGCTCTGTAATGCTCTCCAGGGGTCAAACGCTGTGTCAGGACGCGAATGGCGGTCCAGTTGGTCTCTGATGAGCGGCCTGGCTCCCCTCTCTCCTCTCCACCCCTAGGTCTCCTCGTATCCACACAGGGCTCCGCGCCCCGCTTCCAGGCGACTGTGGGGCCTACATGGTGAGCCCCCTTCCCGGCCTGCCGCCCATCCCCTTCTCCTTCCCGGGCCGCAGGTGAGCGGGAGCGACAGGCAGAGGGCCCGCAGCCACCGCGCCTCAGCGGCCGTCGTCCTCTCAGCGGCGGGTGCCCGCCGCACTCGGGGGCGTAACCACTACGCCTACAGCTTCCCTCCCCCGCTGCTTGACGAACAATGACGGCAGCCGCCCCCCCCCCCGCCTTTGACGTCATGGTTTAAAAAAAAAAAAAACCTCCTTGACTACAAGTCCCAGAGGGCCGAGCGGCGGCGCGAGCGCTCGCGGCAGTTCTGGTACAACTACATCTCCCAGGGGCCCCCGCGCGGCCGCGCCTTCCCCACTGCGCAAGTGCGGAAACGCTTGTTTCCGGCGTGGGTCTCGGTGAGCGTGGGTCTGTGCTGGGCTTAGGTCCTGTCTCCTTGGTTTGCAGGTTTGAGCTCGTGGCTGTACAGGTGAGGTAGTAGGTTCAGAATCGCAGCCGCCGCCTCCTTAGAGCCTGCGCAGATTTCAGTGCCTGGGGAGGCTGGGCCGGATGCTAGACCTGGAGCTGCGACCTGGATCGGAGATAACTTTGCCGTTCCTTGGCGCTTTCTAGTTTACTAATTTCTTTCTTTCCCTCCGACCATCCCGGTTAGTCCCCAGAACAGCACTTTGTGTGGGGAACTGTAAGCGCCTCCAGTTGACAGCGGAGGAGAAGGTTTAGAGGAGCTAAGTGATTTGTTTAAAGACACTGTTAGTGGTCGCTGAGCTGTTTCCTTGATGCTGTTTACTTCTGAGTGCCAACTCGGTGTTCTCTGCCTCCAGATGGCTGACTCCGTTTTTTGTTGACCCAAAGGTTAGGGATTTGGCATCTGTAGCTTTTTCAAGTCTAGAGTACCCGAAAGAGTGATAGTGATGAAGGGAGCAACAAAGGTGCTGTAATCAAGTCTGTCAGTATATAGGTATCTTTCTTTCCGCCGACTTCTGAGCCAGTTATTCACTCGGTGTTTTTACAGAAGTGCCTTTTGGTTGTCAAGCTCTATTTTAGGTACTGGAGTTACAGCAGCAAACCAAAATGCCCAACCCTTACCTTCTAGTGAGGGTAGACAGACAATAATCAGATGTATAGTGGGACAGGTGGTGATGAGAGATAAGGGGGAAGAATAAAGCAAAGTAAGGAGAAACATCCTTTGGAGCATTTTCAACCGAGTCCTAACTTCTGTTTAGATCTGATATTGGTGTTCCAGACAAAGCAGCCACACAGGAAAGATGGGAGAGGAGGCCAATGATGACAAGAAGCCAACAACTAAATTTGAACTGGAGCGGGAGACAGAGCTTCGCTTTGAGGTGGAGGCGTCGCAGTCAGTTCAGTTGGAGCTGCTGGCTGGCATGGCGGAAATCTTCGGCACAGAGCTGACCCGAAACAAGAAGTTCACTTTTGATGCCGGCGCCAAGGTGGCTGTCTTCACTTGGCACGGCTGTTCGCTGCAGCTCAGTGGCCGCACCGAGGTGGCTTACGTCTCCAAGGACACCCCGATGTTGCTTTATCTCAACACGCATACGGCCTTGGAGCAGATGCGGAGGCAGGCAGAGAAGGAGGAGGAGCGAGGCCCCCGGGTGATGGTGGTGGGCCCCACCGACGTGGGCAAGTCCACCGTGTGCCGTCTGCTGCTCAACTACGCGGTGCGTTTGGGCCGCCGTCCTACGTACGTGGAGCTGGATGTGGGCCAGGGCTCTGTGTCCATCCCCGGCACCATGGGGGCCCTCTACATTGAGCGGCCGGCGGACGTGGAGGAGGGCTTCTCCATCCAGGCCCCGCTGGTGTACCACTTCGGCTCCACCACGCCCGGCACCAACATCAAGCTTTATAATAAGGTCAGCGGCCGGGGCAAGGCGGGGTGGATGGAGGGGGCTGGAAGCCGTGCAGGCGTTTGCTAGTTAAAACGCTCTGCCCCCTCTCAGCGGCTGTCGTTTCCATGGTGATGGGTTTTGGAAAAGACAGTTTCAAAAATAGTTCAACCTCAGATGGTAAATCTTTTCTACGGACCTATTCTTAAGTAGGTCCTATTCTTCCCTGATGGCTCAGATGGTAAAGCGTCTGCCTACAATGCGGGAGACCCTGGTTCAATCCCTGGGTCTGGAAGATCCCCTGGAGAAGGAAATGGCTACCCACTCCAGTATTCTTGCCTGGAATATTCCATGGATGGAGGAACCTGGTAGGCTATAGTCCATGGGGTCGCAGACAGTCGGACACGACTGAGCGACTTCACTTCATTCTTAAGTAATTTATTATATTTCAACTTGGGACATGAAACACCAGAGACAGGATAAACAACATAGAATGAAAACTAAATCCATGTTTTGTGGTCAAAACCGCAACCATTAGGAATGTCCTTTTTCTTGAACCTGATACCGCTTAGGCTGAAGAAGGATCATGTAGCCTGGGTTCATTTTGTGCCTTTTCTCCCTCACCTGGACCCTTTCTTCTGCAGATTACATCTCGTTTAGCCGATGTGTTCAACCAGAGGTGTGAAGTGAACCGCAGGGCCTCGGTGAGCGGATGTGTCATTAACACCTGTGGCTGGGTCAAGGGCTCTGGTTACCAGGCCCTGGTCCATGCAGCCTCAGCCTTTGAGGTGGATGTAGTAGTGGTTCTGGATCAAGAACGGCTGTACAATGAACTGAAGCGGGACCTGCCTCACTTCGTCCGCACGGTGCTGCTCCCCAAGTCGGGGGGTGTGGTGGAGCGCTCCAAGGACTTCCGGCGGGAGTGCCGGGATGAGCGCATCCGTGAGTATTTCTATGGATTCCGGGGCTGTTTCTATCCCCATGCCTTCAACGTCAAATTTTCCGATGTGAAAATCTACAAAGTCGGGGCACCCACCATCCCAGACTCCTGCCTGCCTCTGGGCATGTCTCAGGAAGACAATCAGCTCAAGCTCGTGCCTGTCACCCCCGGCCGAGATATGGTGCACCACCTGCTGAGCGTCAGCACGGCGGAGGGCACGGAGGAGAACCTCTCTGAGACCAGCGTCGCTGGCTTCATCGTGGTGACCAGTGTGGACCTGGAGCACCAGGTGTTCACTGTTCTCTCTCCGGCCCCCCGCCCGCTGCCCAAGAACTTCCTGCTCATCATGGATATCCGGTTCATGGATCTTAAGTAGACATCAGCAGGCAGCCTTGCTGCCTGGGGCCTGGCGGCCTTCTGGCCATCACCAAGGGCAGCCGGGCTGAGGTATGAGACCCTCTTGTGGCCAGGCCACTCAGTAAATGGTGGACTACCAGAAAGCATATGTTCTACCTCTTAAAAACAGGTGGTGATCCCCTAACTCTTCCAATTGTGAACCAAAAGTTTCTTAGGTCACCTAAGGTGCCACTTTGAATGATCTCAGTTCCAGAGAAGTCCCCTTTCTTTCACTGTGCTACCACGTGGACTCATTTGTTACCATTTTATATTCTGTATATACTACTTGTTATCTCGTTTGTCTGGGATGAAAGAGTGAATTCGAAGGACTCCTCCCAATAAAGTTCATACTTGGGAAAAAAGAAAAAACTATTTTAATAAATATTTTTGCCATATCACAGGAGTTGGTATAATTTTTTTTTCCATTTATTTTTATTAGTTGGAGGCTAATTATTTTACATCATTGCAGTTTGTCATACATTGAAATGAATTAGCCATGGATTTACATGTATTCCCCATCCCGGTCCCCTCTCCCACCTCCCTCTCCACCCGATCCCTCTGGGTGGTATAATTTTTAAAGCTTGGTTTTTTCCCCCCTAAGCCTTATAGAAACATTGTTGGAATGATTTATTACTGAATGCCTAGAGGAGAAGAAAGCCAAGAGCCCACCTGTGAGCTAAGCAGGTGAATTTTTATGTTGGTTTCCTTTTCCTCTGCACTTGGGTAAATAGATCCTAAATCTGTTGCTCAGTGATGGGTTTACTCTGAGGAACTAAACAGGTGGTGGTAAACTTGGGGTGAGAGTTCAGATTTACTATTATCCAGAGATAGTTCATTTTCTCTCAGCTACAGCTCTCTGCTCTCTTTCCTGTTGTCTGTTTAATTGGAATCAGATCCCAAGTCAAAAAATAAATTTGAGCCTTCAGGTGATAAGCTGGGACAGCCCATTCTCTTTGATCTCTTGGAAATAATTGGTTTCCCTAGTTTGGACTTGTATTATTGAATAAGTATCATGATGACCTTATCCATTGATTCTTTCCACAAATTTTTATCATGTACCTACTATGTGACAGGGACCTTTCTAGATGGGGGAACAAGATGGACAGAGTCTTACGGAGCATACAGTAAACATAAAAAGTGAGGTGCTGTGCAGAGAGGCTTAAGATTGGGTGATAGGAGGTGGAGTGGACAGGAAGCTTTTTAAGTCAGGTGGTCAGGAAAGGCCTCTTCTGAGCACATGTTTCAAGTTAAGACCTGAATGACTGTGTGCAATTGGGACAGAATCTTCCCGGTGAAGGAAGCGGTGCAAAACCTAAGAAAGGAGCAATCTTGAGTGTGTTGGATGAAAGGAAAGGCCAGCATGGTGGGAGTGATACAGCGAATCAAGGGGAGAGGGAAAAAGTCAGGCCGGGTTGGGAGGCAGCAAAGACCAAATAGTGTAGGGCTTTTGTAATCCAAGAGCAGTGGGAGATGATGGGAGAGGGGTAAGAAGCTCCAGTACTTTGGCCATCTGACGCGAAGAGCCGACTCATTGGAAAGACCTTGATGCTGGGAAGGACTGAAGGAAAAGGAAGAAGCCAGTGGCAGGATGAGATGGTCAGATACCATCACCTACCCACTCACTTGATGGACATGAATTTAAGCATACTCTTGGGAGACAGTCAAGGACAGAGTAGCCTGGCCTGCTGCAGTCCACGGGATTGTGAGAGTCAGACATGACTTGGGGACTGAACAACAACAACAAAAACACACACTGAGTAACTTACAAACACCAGAAAACGTTCATATTTCTGAAGGCTGGGAAGGCCAAATTCAAGGCACCAAGCGTAGTCAAGTTCTGCCAGGGCTCTCTTCCAAGTTGCAGGTGACCTGTTTCAACTGTGTCCTCACAGAGTGAGAGGGGCAGGCAGCTCTGGAGCCTTGTTTCTAAAAGCACTGATCCCGTTCATGAAGGTCTACGTTCATGATCTAAGCATCTTTCAAAGGTTTCATCTCCTAATACTGGGGACTTCAGCATAAGAATTGGGTGGGGGCACAAAAATTCATACCATTGCAGGTGGCTGAACACAGGAATGGCATGTTTTAGTTTACATTGAAAATATTACTGCCAGGCAGAAAAATGGATTCCAGAGGCAAGAAAAGAAGCAAGAACACAAGTTGGACTTTCGAGGTAGGGTCAGTGTGAGAATTAATGATTCAGAAGAGGGCAGCAGAGAGAGCTGAGTAGATTGCCTCAGGAGATTTCAGAGGTAAAATTGATAGGACTTGCTGATAGGAGTGGTAAGGAAAAGCACGTGGAATCAAAGGTAATACCCACATTTTTTACTTGAGCATCTAGATTGGATCTGAGATTGAGGAAACTTTGGGAGAGAGGATAAAAAAGTACAGATGCTTTGAAAAAGTACTGATAAACTACACCAGAAAAAAATATGAGGTATTACTTGACATACATAGCAAAGTAATTTGTTTGAAGTTTGATGCTCTGGATATCTCATTGTTTTAGTCTAGATTTTACTTTGCAATACTTTTCAGAAGTGACTATCAGTTTAAATCTTGTGTTCTATTAAACATCCTTTCCAGGAAATATCTTGCACAATCCTAAGGAAAATTGGAAAAGAAAATGGAATCTCTCTCTAAACCCTGGGATAGTGATTATGCCACTGTCAGTACTCACCCAGCTAACAGCTTGGCATTCAGTAATCCAGTGTCCTAGGGGAGTTTAGTATATGTGGTTGGTCAGTGAAATGTCCAATGCTCATTCCCATTTAGCACTGTCTAACTAAGAGACAAAACAATTTATAGGTTCTTAGACTGTTGAAAGTGGGAAAAGGCAAAGGCCTCATTTGTGAACTTGGATAAATGAAGCCTTAAAAGTCCAAGAAAAGGGACTTGCCTGGTGGCTCAGTGGTCAAGACTCCATACTTCCAGGCAGGGGGTGCAGGTTCAATCCCTGACTGGGGAACCAGAATTCTGCAAGGATGCTGTGTAGGCAAAAAATAATAACAACAAACCCAAGAAAAATATAGATAAATGACATTTTATCTTTCCCTAAGGAAACAAATTAAGTTGGCTTACAAATAGAAAAGCCTCTACAAACATTTTATCTCCAATAATACTTTAACTTTACCTACCATAAGGTAGAAAGTTTAAAAATTTTTCATTTTTAAAATATACACAGTCATTAAGAGGACTCTACAGTGTGCTGCAAAAAATGGTAGATGAAGCCTTTAGCAAGAATGAACTACAGCCTGTTAATACATGCCATGCCAGAAAAAGAACTAGACTAGACCTCAGAAAACAGAAGGTAGACCTTCTCCTTTCCCTTGCTGCTTAACTGCTAAACATCAGAGCAGTTAAACCAGCAACATTTGACACCAAAGCCGAGGACAGACAGCAGGATTTAGAATCACACTTCACAGGTGAGAAACCTTGGCTTCAGAGAACTGGCTGCTGGAACACTTTTTTGAAAGACTATTATGTAATAGCCAGAGCAGAAAATGGCCTTGGTCTAAATCAGGAGAGAACACCGGGTCTTCTCTTGGGTTCACAGCTGTGTAGGACTAATTAGGGCAAAGTGTGGCACCGAGATCTAGGTAGAACTGGCTAGCAGCTCGCCATGGACAGGACCTTCTGGAGAACCTTTTCCTTCCTGCCTGTATTTCCAGACTGCCCAAGATTAGGCAACGGGGCTCCACCCCCTGTGCTATAGCGAAACGAAGGGAATTAAGTGGGGCTCAACCAGTCCATCCTAAAGCTCAGTCCTGAATAGTCATTGGAAGGGCTGATGCGGAAGCTGAAGCTCCAATACTTTGGCTGTCTGATGCGAAGAACTGACTCATTGGAAAAGCCCCTGATGCTGGGAAAGATTGAGGGCAGGAGGAGAAGGGGACGACAGAGAATGAGATGATTGGATGGCATCACAGACTTGATGGACATGAGTTTGAGCAAGCTCCCGTAGTTGGTGATGGACAGGGAGGCCTGGAGTGCTGCCATCCTTGGGGTCGCAGTGTCGGACACGACTGAGCGACTGAACTGAACTGAGTTTCAGGTGTACAGCAAAGTAACTGAGTTATACACATACCTCTGGTGGGTCAGATGGTAAAGAAGGTGCCTGCAATGCAGGAGACCTGGGTTTGATTCCTGGGTCAGGAAGATCCCCTGGAAGGCCTTACTCACTCCAGTGTTCTTGCCTGGAGAATTCCATGGACAGAGGAGCCTGGTGGGCTATAGTCCATGGGGTGGCAAAGAGTTGGATACGACTGAGTGAGTGAACTGAACTGAAACTCTTACTCCAGGGGCCGCTGCTGCCTCCGCGCGCACTCCCGGAGCCTTCCTCCATGGGTGGCCCTGGGGCCCCAAGGCTGGGGCCCGCTCTCCTCTCTCTTCTTCCCGGGCCTTTGGCTGGCTCTTCGCCCTTCCTGGTGGCTCAGCTGGTGAAGAATCCGCCTGCAATGCAGGAGACCCCGGTTCGATTCCTGGGTCAGAAGAGCCGTTGGAGAAGTGATAGGCTACCCACTCCAGTATTCTTGGGTTTCCTTGGTGGCTTAGTTGGTAAAGAATCCGTGGGAGACCTGGGTTCGATCCCCGGGAGGGGAAGATCCCCTGGAGAAGGCAACGGCTACCCACTCCAGTATTCTGGCCTGTAGAATCCCATGGACAGGGGAGCCTGGCGGATCCACGGGGGTCACAAAGAGTCGGACACGACTGAGAGACTAACACTAACTCGTCCTCTAAACTGACTCTTCCAGTCGCGTCAGACCCTCCAGGCGGAAGGGACAGCCTAAGCCTTGCCATCATCCTGAACCTCTGCTGGTACCCGGGAGCTCAGACTGGGGACGGCCCCGTCAAGATTGTTTTAAATAAAGTTTTCGCCGTCAAAAAGGGGCGGGGTGGCCGGGGGTTGGCCAATGCACGGAGGGGCTGAAACAGGAACACGCCGGGGCCCGAGGGTGATTGGTTATCTCAGAAGCCTGTCTGGCTGGTACCACAGTTATTGGGGGGGGGTGGCGAATTCGGGAGGGTTGCAGCTTGTTCTTGAGAAGTTTCAGCAGACACATATAACTATATTTTGCTTCTGAGGATTTCTGTGTCTATCCAGGAGGGGCGGAAATCGGGACGCAGGAAAGGTGGACTACTCGCCCAGCCATTCCCCCATTTCTGACTCCCCCCAAGTACGCCCACCCTCCCCGGGCGGTCGCCGGCGGATCCCGACGGCCCTGCGCGCGCGCGCTCTCGTGTGTTCTCGCGTGGCGCGGCTCTGTGCTCCCGCAGCCAATCAGGCCGCGAGGTCGCCGCGGTCGCCGGGGTGCGCGCGCACGCCCTGGGCGGCGTGGGGGTGGGGGNGGGCCCTGCGGCCGCCGACCGCGTCCTCTCCGTGTGGGCCGGCCCTGCCCCGGACGG